CATGTTCAAAATGGGAGGTAGCAGAAGCTACACTTTTGAGAGGAAGCAGCACTTTTGGACTGCAACAAAAATTGTGATTTTTCAAACTGAGCACAGAAAATAAAGGCGAAAATTTTTGGAAACTGGAGAACATTGCGAGTTAGAGAATGTTTTCGGCCGTTTTCGATTAGCATCAATTTGTTTTGAAATGTGTTTCAAGATCAAAAAAAGAGAAAGCAGAATTTAGTGTAAATTGATTTAGGAACATAGTTTAAAATGGCGCTCATTGACCATTAATTGAGAGAAATTATTAGTCGGGACCTGTATGGCTTTGATTTATCGCTAGGATTGTGAGATATAAATCTGAAGTTGAAATAAGTCTCCGCATGAGTCAGTTGTTTTAGAGTTCGTCTGTCTCAGCCACTGTTTTGAATTTTTAGATGCTTGCATAAAGCTTTTTTACCGCTATTCTCCAATCTTTAAACTGCGTAAGGAGTTGCCGTGCTAGAGCCGTTCAAGCACCCTTGATCGATCCACCAAGGCAGTACCCCTAGGCGCTGGTACGGCGCTAGCACGTCGCTGGCACACCTGGTCGCAGCCTCACTTGAGACACTTTTAACAAAATTTCAATCTGACATCATTGGCGACTATGTGATTCATGATTTTGAAAAAATGCGTTGAAAACTGTATTTCATAAAGCAAGAATTATAGAAAATTGTGAATCTAATCATAACTGTGTTATTAGTACCGGTTAATTCAAAGGTATTGCAATTTATATACAAAGCTCAACGAAGCTAAGCTAATGAGGAGGAAACTCAGTTACCATGGGACAAGATGTTTGACTACTTATGATTTACCTGCACGCCATCACTAGCTAATTCATCATCTATGCAATGAGCCAGAAATCGTTCCATCTTTGCCGTATCATGCAATTCGTCGGAGCCTTGAAAGAGATATTAGTAAGGCGATTTGAAACCATCCAAAGATGTTTGCAGCTCACCTGAAGTCTCTATAAGTAGCGTAAAGCGAGGATCTGATTTCAGAACTGGCTTAAGCCCTAAGTTTTCATCGATGGCTGCCATAGTTTCTCGGTCCAGAAACTCGAAAGAAGATAAAATTTCAGAGAGATGTCTACGAGCTAAGCGAAGAATATCACAACACTTCTCAAACGTTTCAGCCCCTAAAAAATTTCGACGTTGTATTGATAGAAAAGTAATTATAGATAACCTATCATAGCGCTTTGTACTGAAGTTGGTTTCGGTGCTGCAGCCATAGTAATTCGTGTAATTACACCCAGCTGTCCTTCGCTACCCAAGAAAAGGTGAGGAATATGCAGAGAAGTATTATCCTTTTTTAAGGATGATCCAACTTTCAGAATCGTTCCTTGTTCGTCTGGTAAGACCTGGATATCAGAAACTTCACTCAAACGCAAACAATATGTAGCCATAAATTTACACACAACAGTAAGTCCCAAAAGATGTGCATGAAGGCTACCGTATCGCAGCAATCGTAATCCACCAGCACATGTTGCTATATTTCCACCAATCATGCATGAACCTTTAGCACCAAGATCGAAAGGCATCATATAACTATAAATACCTTGTTAGGTAATCTGTCGAATGAAATCTTCCCAAAAAATCTCGAGTGGAAATTCTCACCCAAAGGGAGCTAGTTTGTTATCCAGCTCTTCAAGGATATGTCCTGCGTCACAAGTGAGAATACCTACAAAAGCAACAATCTACAGACTGAGTGAATGACACAGACTATATATGAGTTGCGCCCATGCTTGCGACGCGGCTCTGACGCCTCCGAGTCGCGATGGGGAAACACGCAAAAAAATGCAAAAGTTGGTC